ATGGAAGGGTGAATGTGGCTTGGGGAGTCAAGGCACGGAGGGCTGCGCTATGGACTGACCCCCAAGAGGCCTGAGGATAGGAGTGCAGGCTAGGAGAGTTAGCCGGTGGTGCAGGTCCAGGATGCAGAGAGAGGTGAGGGCGGGGCCAGGACCAGAAGCGGTGCTCCTGGGGCCCAAGAAAGGCACTCAGTTGGTCCCAAGAGGCTTGAGGATAGGAGTCGAGTAGTATGAACTTTTAAGCACTGAGCCATCTCTCCAGTCCCTAATTTTATTAATTAATTAATTAATTAATTTATTTATTTATTTACTTGCTCTCACCCTTGTAGCTGGTGGTTAAAAGGGCCGCCCGTGATGGGCAGGTGGCTCCAGTAATGAGCTAGCCCTGCTATGGTGCTGCAGCTTTAACCCCCTGTGGCTTGAGGAGGCACGTCAGGGGCTCAAAGGTAGTGCATCTGTCCCTAATTTTCAAGGTAAATTTTAAAAATTTACATTTGGGGCTGGAGAAATGGCGGCTAACAACTGTCCATAACTCCAGTTCCAGGGGATCCAACAACACCCTCTTCTGACCTCTGCGGGCATTGCATGACGTCGGGTCACTCACACACATGCAGGCAATACACTCATACACATAAAATAAAAATAATACATAAATATTTAGATTAAAAAATTTACATTTATAAGGCCAGGTATAGTGGTGCACACCTTTAATCCTAGCACTCAGGAGGCAGAGGTAGGTGAATCTCTGTGAGTTCAATGTCAGCCTGGTCTACACAGCTAGTTCCAGTCCAGTCAGAGCTACATAGTGAGACCCTGTCTGAAAATTATTATTTATTTATTATTTACTTGTTTATTTATTGTGTGTGTGCTCCTACACATGTGCTATGGTGTGCATGTATTGTGATCAGAGGATAATCTTCAGGAATTTGTTCTCTCTTTCTACCGTGTGGGTTCTAGGGTTCAAAATCAAGTAGACAGGCTTGGAGGCCAGCAGTTTTACTCACTGAACCATCTCAATGGCATATATTCATATATGCTAGGTAAATGTTCTAGCAGCCCTGTCTGCCTGTTTTTACCCCAAGTATACACAGAAGCAGGGGGTGGTATCAAATCTTTCTAATGCCAGCACTCTCTTAGAAGTTGAGGTAGGAAGATCACAAGTTCAAAGCCAGCTTAGGCTGTATAGCTTTCTGAGCAATAACAACAGCAGCACATGATAAATTCACATGTGGGCATGGTTTCAAGAAACACATTCCAGAAAATTTTTATGAAAATTCCTCTATTTCCTCTTTCTAGAGAGGATATTCACATTTAATATCCAAATAATTTTAAGTGTATTTTTGGTGATTTACCACCGTATCACTAAATAACATACTTTATTGCTTTTTTAAAAACTTAAAAATATTTTATTTATTATTTTTATTTTATGTGTATGAGTATATTGCCTGCATGTATGTGAGTGCACCCCTGTTATGCAGTGCTGCGGAGGTCAAAAGAGGGCTTCGGATTCTCCTGGAACTGGAATTAGGGACAGTTTGTAGCCGCCATGTGGGTGCTGGGAATCGAACCCAGGTCCTCTGCAAGAGCAGTCAGTGTCCTTAACTGCTGAGCCATCTCTCCAGCCCTTGCTTTTTAATTTTTTTAAATTGATTTAATTTTATGTGTATGAGTGTTTTGCCTGCATGTATGTAAGTTCACCCTTGTGAGCAATGCCCATGGAGGCCAGAAGAGGGTGTCAGATGCCCTGGAACTGGAGTTATGGACAGTTGTTAGCTACTATGTGGTGCTGACAATAGAACCTGGGTCCCCTGCAGAGGTCAGGAAAGGGCATCACATCCCCTGGAACTGGAGTCACAGTTGTTAGCTGCCACGTGGGTGCTGGGAACCAAACCCAGGTTTTCTGCCTGAGTAGCCACTGCTCAGCCGTCTGTCCAGCCCAAGAAGGGCTTTCTTTTTTAAAAATATTATTTTTAATTTTTGTGTATGAGTGTATTGCCTACATGTATGTAAGTGAACCCATGTTGTGCAATGCCTGTGGAGATCAGAAGAGAGTGTAAGATTACTCTGGAACAAGAGTTATGAATGGTTGGGAGCTAAACTTGGGTCCTCTGCAAGAGCAGCCAGTGCTCCTAACCATTGAGCCATATCTCTAGCCCCTCCCCTCCACCTTAATTTTTTTTTTTTGGTCTTTTTTGAGACAGGGTCTCCTGTAGCCCCAGCTGGTCTGGAACTCACTATGTAGACCAGGCTGGCCTCGATCTCACAGAGATCCTCTTGCCTCTTCTTCCTCAGTGCTGGGACTAAAGGCGTGCGCCACCACATCTGGCTATGGTCCTTCTTCTTAATGCCCCACAAGGGGGAAGTTGAAACTTAGTGGGCCCAGTGTGGAATTTTAAGCTGAATTTTATTTTCTATCATCTATCATCTATCATCTATCTATCTATCTATCTATCTATCTATCTATCTATCTATCTATCTATCATCTATTCTCTCATCTCTCATCTATC